ACTTGGAGGAATTTACAGTGGTCAATTTGCCAACACAGATCAGCGAATCAAACACTGCAATAATGTCAAACACCGGGAGTGAGATGACCAATGCCCATGAATGTTAATATATATCCAACTCTATACTTACAATAATACAAAAAAACTTTATCTTTAGCGTAAGTATTTAAAAAACCATCACATATCACTGTCTGAAAAAGCAAAAAGGTCAAGAGGACGAGCTTTTACCCCATTTTTTTCACAATGGGGCGATTGTGACAAAAAGGAGAGCAGGATGTTTACAATAAAGGAAATAATTGGCAGAGTATTCCTTCCAAGAGGGCATTAATTAGGGCATGTGACAAGTATTTGTGCTATACAAGCACAAGAGATAACTGATGTGGGTTTTTCCATAGACGACAAAATCTGCGGGACATAAGCTCTGCCATTGTTTGGATGCCAGTGATGCTCCCATAACTTTCACCAATATTGGATTGTGTGTGCATTGCTCTAAAAGCGGGTGCACAGTAAAAACAATAAAAATGACTGATAGACATAAGGAAAAGGCAAAGAAAAGCATGTGCAATAAGGATTCTAAATGCAAGAATGTAAGAAATCAAACAAGAAATACACAAAAAATGGAAGTCCAAGCTGAAAGACTAACTTAAAAAGAAATGGGGAACAGACACAAAAACAATGGATTGGCAACAAAGGGTCCACATCAACACAGAGAGACACAGGGGAAACGTATAAAGGTGGGGACAAGAAGTAAAACTAAAATGATCACAAATATCTTTCAACAAAAATCCACACCTTGACAGCATGAGGAAGAATTTCAGTTCAATTTGGTCCTTAAACATCAATGTGAGAAGAATGACTTTGGGATTCCGAATTCCGAATGTTTTGAGTAGAATATGGATCAACAAGTGTAATGTGAATTGTGAAATAACATTTGTGCTTTTAGTAAACATCAAACATGCTTCAGAGTAATTGATGGCATACATTTGTAGTGAATGTGATTTGAACAATTCCCAAAACTAATTTGAAGTCAGTTCTCTAGTCTCCATGACGTCACAGTCTGTGGATTCGTCAGAGCATAGTGACTTTAAAATAATAATAGTCACCCAGAAGGAACAGGATTGTGATGATTTAAGCCAAAAGTTACTCGTAGCGTGAAAGGAAAATTATAAGCTTTTTTTCACTTTGGTCTGAAAAAGCTGATCTAAAGATGTAAAATCCAGTGATAGAACCAAACCGTTTTGAGAGCTTAGAACTAGTTTGATAAGTTTCTAAAACAAAAGTTACATGTTTTGTAGAATAATGTATATAATAATAAGACAAAAATCATAATATGTGTCATTTAAAGCCCCACTGTGGAATATTACAGCCCAGAAGATGTTTCTCTGTCGCAACTATACATTCTTTACATTTTCATATTTATTCATAAAACATTGAAAGTTAAGCAGCTTCTCTGACATGTAGGATTGAGTCCTAAGACGCACACGCACACACACACACACACACACACACACACACACACACATATATATGCACTCACAAGCATGGAGACACACACACACACATAGATGGACACACACACATATACTGTATGCACATGCAACCACACACACACACACATATATATGCACGCGCAAGCATGGACACACACACATATACTGTATGCACACGCAATCACACACACATATGCACACGCAAGCACGGACACATACATATATGCACACGCAAGCATGGAGACACACATACACACATATGCACACGTGAGCATGGACACACACATATACTGTATGCACACGCAAGCATGGAGACACACATACACACATATGCACACATGAGCATGGACACACACACATATACTGTATGCACACGCAATCACACACACACCCACATTTTCACACGCAAGCATGGACACACACACACATATGCACACACACGCCCACATACACAACCTCACTAACTAAAGAATCCTGTCCAAGTCTGTTGCCATAAACATATCATAATTATAACATTATGAAGTGATATGTTAAAGGCTGTACGCTCACATATTTTCTCGCTTCTGCCTCCTCCCTTTGAGCCCCATGTGGTGTAATCTGGATTGTTTTAGTTATAATATGCCATCCAAACCTTCACAAAAGGAAATTAAAATTGAAAAAAAAAAGATTCTTATCATATTTCTGTCTCCTGGAGTGGTTGGCCAAATTGTGCATATTGCTCATTCTAACAAGTCAAAAATCTGAATCCAAACGCAGCTGTAAAACCGTTCGCCTGCATTTTGAGCCGCCAGTACAAAACGTATATGAATTCAATGCCCTGTTTTCCACAAATCCCTCTCCATATGAACTGGCGCGGTCACTGCCCAAACAAAGCCTCCCAAAGTCAGATGGACCAAAGTAAATATTGGCCCGTCGCAGAGCTTTTATAGGCACACTAACTTATCTGATATTAAACTGCTATTGTGGATTATAACACAGGCATCCAACGAAACACCACAAATGGTTGTATATTTGATATCATCATTATATGGATTTGAGCTGAGGTCTAAAATTCAAGCAAAGACATAAAAACCACAAGAATATGAATCCGGAAAGATTAGTTTCACCTAATAATCCCACACACACAGAACTGGCAGACTGTGATCATCTGTGCTGTTATACACTGTAACACTCTAATACCAAGGTCTTTTAATGGAATGCGTGTTCATACGGTGGTCCTCCTTATGATGCGCTCTACCTTTTATGGCCTCGCTGTTTCGCAATCTTAAGTGCTTTTCTTTTCTTTTTTTACAGCGTGCTTCTCATGCACCGCTTGTAAACTCCAACATCATACCACCGCTTCTGTAAAATGACCGTTACCTTTTATTTCAAGTCAGAAGAAGGATTTTGTGGTTTGTGTGTAACGCTGTGATTAGGACTACCGCGGTCTCTGCAGCTGTATTTTACAGTCGTGCACAGCTTTTGACAGCTGCAGCAGCACTCAGACCAAATGGACAGGTTTGACATCTTTGTGATTGCACGTCAGCAGTCGTGAGTCCAGTTGTGTGATGAAGGGTTTTACAGCCTTAAAACATATAGCTACTACTTCACTTATTGTGGGTTATTTTAGAACGGACTCCAGCAATGAATGAGGGATCACTGTAATCTTTGACATCAGATTGCTTTCGTTTATTGTTTTTTTATGTCAGGGATTTCTACATTGTGTTTCTTCTTATTGAAATTCAACTTTTAGATTATATCAAATTGAGTACATCCTTGAATTGAACCAAAGCTGGAAGAAAAGTAAGAGAAGTTATTGCAGACTGTTTGATTGATTATCATTTAATTGTGCTCTAAGTTCAATTTTTAGGATAGCTTAAATATATGGTTGTTGCGTAGCTTTGAAGGGATATCTTCAAAGCTACGGCACGGAGGCTGAGTGGCACTCTTGCCTCTCAGCAAAAAGGACCTGGGTTCAAATCCCGGTCGGAACAGGGCCTTTCTGAGTGGAGTTTGCATGTTCTCCCCGTGTCTGTGTAGGTTTACTCCGGGTACTCGCTTTGTGACTGGTCTGTGAAAGGCGGTATATATATAAAGATTACTTACTTACTTATCTAACATACCACAGTCGCCCAATGTTATCAACCAATGATTGCAAGTTTTGAAAATAATGTAAAGTAGCCCCTGTAATACCCCGCCATACCCCTAGGGGTCTGAATAAAAAATCTGTCAATATCCAAGTGACTTATAGTAGAAATGATTCTGCACAGTAAACCAAAAGACAGCTCCAGAAAAACAAGTTATAACCAAGACAAATCCCATATGTGACCAAAGCTCATGTGTTATTGGACAAAAGTGTTACTGAACCATAAAACAATGTTAAACTAAATCAATAAAAACTCTAAAGACAAAAAGGCTTGAATCTGATAAAATAAGGCATTATTTTAGAAGAGAGCCACTTAAGTTCATCAGAGTTGTCTAGCGGCCAATACCTTGATTGTTAAACTGTTTTGACGTACGACATGTCCATATTTTGACAGAGCTGAAGTTGGCTGAATGGCTGTGTGGAGATCCCACACAAAAAAACTACATTTGGACAAACTGTGCTGTTGGTCAGAGGAGGTCAGTGTTGGAACAAACTTCCTACAGACATAAGAGAATGCCCAACATATAGCTCTTTTAAAAATCAACTAAAACACCATTAGTAAATCAGTACTGCACTCATTTTAACTAACTGTAATTTCTATAATTGTATATATAAATTAGCAGTTTTGCTACAATCTGGCACATTTACAATTTGTGTACATTAAGGTGTGTTGTCCCGATCAAATATATAAATAAAAAAAAAAAAAAAAAAAAAACACTTGTTTACTACCTCACCAGCTACTTTAGCACTATCTACATAGTTTTGTGACTGAAAAATTAAATGTCTGTATAGTCACAGTCAAATCGTGCCTATAGAGGTCGTGAGCTTTATACCACGAGGCACAATGTGATATATTGACTGAGCTGAAATTGGCTGGATGACACTGTGAACTTTTTCTATTATCTCCAAGTCTACTTTGTGTTAGCGGCAGAGGGACACACAAAACGATACAGAGGACCGTGATTGACTCGCGGGCCTTAATTTGGCGTGTAATTAAATAAATCACACAACACGGTCCCATAGGGACCACTTATACGTGCACTGAATATTAAAGTTAGTTGGCGCTTAAATCATTTTGAAGTATGATGCTTTTCCCACTTCCAAGTGATTTTTGGAGTCGGACTCTCAGCGCAGCTCGCTCCATTAGCAGAATGCAGTTACCTATGAGTAACTGTGCGGGGACCACAGCGGCAGAGCGGATCCGTGCCAAAACAGCGCGCCCTGCATAATAACGTAACATCCAGTCTTGGGGAATTCTGTATATTTTTTATATTTTTTAATTTTTTTTACAGTTAAATTGTTAATCTTGGTCAAATCATATTAGGTGCATGGGGAAAAAAATACTTTGACTAATTAACTAAAACAAAGAATGGTTAATGGCTTACCTATCGCGAACGCGCCGAAGAGCAGGGCAGCCCACCCGGGTAAATGTTCCATGGCTGTGTCCACTTTCTGCGCGTCCACATGGATGAAGCGCTGCGGGAGAAGCGGCTCCTCTGTCTCTTCTCTCTCCACTCTCTCCTCTCTCTCACTGATGCTGATACCGAGGATGAGGATGAGGATGATGAAGCTGCAGCGCCTGTTACGTCACTGCTCATCTCAATATTCCAACATGACGCACTCCTCTTCCTCCTGCAGGGGTTTGTTGTCGTATTCAGAGTCGGCATTCAGAGTTAATGTGCTGCTGACTTCACATTCGGTGTTTCTCAACCTGAGCGGGAAAAGTTTCGCTTTTGGGAGTTTAAGAAAGTTATTGCATTTTGTTGTTGTTGTTGAAGGCGCCAAGAACAAGGAAAAACATGAAAAACAATATACACAACACACAACAAAGAGTATTTAAACCAGCAGGAATGTGTATAGAAAAAAGAGAAAGAAAAGATAAAATAAAGTATACAAACATGGCAAGGGATACAAGACAGATGGGAGGACAAATAAGAGGGGGAATAGATAATATGAGTACTGTAAGAAAAATTTAACGTAATTAACAATTTGAGTAAAACGCTCCATTTACTTTAACCCATGAAAAGCCAGAGGTCTCCACACGCTGCTTAAAACGCCCGATTTTCACATCTTGTATTTCAAAAAGGCTATAGTGATAGAGAGAGAGAGAAAAGCTGTTTGTAAATTAGAGAAATATTAAAGATGGCCCAGTTTAAGGGCTTTACCCATCTAATTGGCATATTATGACGTCAAACGGTGGTGGCAAACATGGATTTCAGAATTTTCATGACATTTTTGTATTTTTTTTTACAGACAGAAATCCAAATCCTTTGGACATGAACACACAAACAGAGCTCACATTGTGCCAGCTAAATAGTAAAAAAGCAAATCGGTGCAAGCAGCCTGAACACCCTGACAGCACCGCAGATCTGGTCAATTTAAAAGTCAACCATAGCACATAGAGAGTTAAAAAAAACATGTTGGGAAACTGTCTCTCAACGCCACATCCAACATGACTAAAAGCAGCTCACATTCATTTGTCATTGCACCTTCTTTGATGAAACAAGTCACAAGTCTCCCATTGTTTACGAGTCACACACCAATTATTAAGGTATTTTTTGTCCTGGCCAGAAATGTGGTAAAGTAAGCAGTCCAGAACCACAAAGTAACATAGTTCACAGAGCGCAATCTCTCAACGGATCAATTTTTGGCAGGCATGTCAGTACTGATGGGCTTTCACAGCTCCAGGACTCCAGACTCCAGACTGCAGAATCAGGCAGGACTCTCACGGACCACTGAGCAGCTGTCAAGGAAGGTGCATCATTCACAGAGGTGGGAGAAAGAACTAGAACTGTGTAATCTTCTAAAGTTGCACCAAACCTCTGGAGAACTGTCACAAGAATAAGTTACATCCATTTTCAACACTCTTCCTATCCCTGGTTCTTGTCGTCACATATGTGGGCTGAGAAGCGCTGATGAAACAGAGGAATGCTTTTCACACTCTGGGATTGGGATTGAGGTGGCATGAAGTCATCCGGCTGTGCACCATTTGAACTGCTCTAGAATAAGTGCTTTCAGATGTTGTTGTGTTGTCTTCACACTGATAAACACCTTGTGACTATTTTGCTTTGAAACCCCCTCCTCTGTACCGCTGTTAGGTCCTGTTCCACAAAGACACAGCTACGATCAATGTTTTCTGCCTAAGTGTGACCAGCAGCTTGTTATTCGTGTGAAACCTTGTCTCTCATCAATTACAAACATGTCCAATTGTTTTCATGTGGCCTCAAAACTCCTGCATTGAACTATAATAATAATTCAAATTTCAGTATATTAGGAGGGGTATGTGCCTTTATTCACTACTTTATTCACTAGCAAAGGGGTGTTGTCGACTCGCCAACATAGATCAGAGAATCAAACACAGGAAATGCAACAATACAAAATGTTGTTACAGTCAGAGGATCTGAGCTGAAGTTGGCTGGATGACACTTGCCTTAATAGTACTTAGGATTGGTGAGATAAAGGACCACTTTTCCTCCAGGCCCGGGCCGGGTCCTGTTCTGCGTAGTGGGGACTTGTCTTTGGGTTGGAAGGACTTTCATGAGAGAAAAGCCAGCACTCAGATGAGAGGAGAGACATCTAAACTCCAAAGCCCCATGTACTGCTCCTAAAAAGTTTACAGTATACTGTAATACAACTACACACTATCAACATTATCATGCATTTTCTCAGTATATGTCCATGTGGCCCTGTCCCCCTCTGACTCCTCCTGTTCCCCCTCTGACTCCTCCTGTCCCCCCATGTTCTAACATCACTTTTGTTGCCTCTTGACACTTGACACGCAAAGACAGAGAAGGTCTCCCAAACATACTGTACTTCTCAACTGTTTCTTTCTGTCCTATTTTTCGCTTTTCTTCCTTGTTCACAGTCCATCCTAAGCACATGTGTGATAATAATTTTGGTGATACACTAAATGACTATAGCAGCTTTTAAGTAAGGCAGGTTTCAAGGTAACTGTAAGTCTTTGATAAAGTGTCACTTGCAGAAAGATTTCAGAAGCAGATCCCCATAAACATAGCCTGGCCTACCATCCATAAACTCTGGTCAGGTCTGGTAGCGGTCGCCGAATTTGCTTTGTAGTTTGGCAATGGCGGCAAATGCGATTGTAAAGTAATCCATTCTGGTTCGGCTCCCAGGAATCAAGAAATTGAAGCCGGAGCAAGAGGATTGTTTAGCATGTAATTGCTGACAAATATGTTGTGGCCACTAGCTCCATTAGTGGCAAAGGAGATGGCTAAAGCTAGGCTAAATGCTAGCAACTCACTCGGGCTCATGAAATACGTCACAGTAAACTCAGATCCAATCGTTTCAATCTGCAAAAGGAGTTAACCCGTCAGACCTGTTAACGGAGCACAATTGAGCTAATCCAGACCTTAGCACAAAATGAAGTGTGTGCAATGGTGTGGTAAGACCAGGCTACTGTAAACAAAGTCAAGTCTAACACAAAAATCACAGTCTCTGGGCGATCGACACAAGACCATACAAATATTTGCAGTCTATGGACCATACGCTGGACTGGTCTGGACCGATCATAGACTGCGCTGATTCACTATTTTCAACTTCTCGCAGCTGTCAATCACCTCCTGGAGGCCAGCTTCTGACATCACGGTTTGGTCCACGTCACCATTTTTTTGCCTCTCGAGAATGAAAGAGAAAGGTCGCTCTCTAAAAACTATTCTGGGCATGTGTCTGAAGGCCAAACAGCACTGATGTTTTAAGTAAAGTCAAAAAGCGTACTACGAGACCTTAAACAGAACGACCAACTACTGTTTAGAGTTTGGACAATTCCCCCTGATTCCAGCTGATGGAATTGTCACTAAAAGGATTTGTAATAAAGCAAAGAAAACTCAAGGCAAAACAGAGTTGCTACAATATTTTATTTGTGAGTTTGAAGGACAATGTCAAGCTTTTTGTCGTCAGCAGCAACCCTTTTATGGCCGTGTAAGGTCACTTTGTTTATGTCCATCTGCTCTGCCTGTGCCTTTTCGATTGCTCTTTGTAATTTGAGTGTTTTAAATTGTATTGAAGCTCAGAATTGTTGACTGAAAAATAACTTTATATTGATGTTTCACAAGTGTAGATTATTGTAATAAAAACAAACAAGCTGTGGAAAAACAGAGGGCACAGGTTTACGAAAGTGTATCATTTCACTTTATTTTTCTGCTCCAACTGATCCTTACACAATTTTTCAATGGAGATAGAAGAAAATGAGGCTGGGTATTGTGGGTAATGAGAGGAGAGTAATTAGAGGCCCTGTCCATTAGAACGCCGCACTTACATGGGCTAAAATCTATAGGGGAAAGTCGAAAATTAGTTGTAACAGAATTGGAAATCCTTTTTGTTATTGATTTGACAGAGAAGGATTTTGGCCCCGGTAGCCTTCAGTCTCCAAACATGAGCTTTTTTATAGTTTAACTTCATTACATACACGAGGTCCGGATAAAAACTAAATAGTCCGAAAAATAAAATTAGTGCAGACGCCATAGTTCGACATCGGTAATCACTTTGATGGACAATTAGTTGAGACAATGACATTATTTTGATTTAGAATGCAGAAATACATCTCAATTTGAAAGCAAAATGATCCACTTGAGGACGTTTTAAAAGATTCAAAGTCCAGACAAAATGGTTCAGTTATTATTAAACTTTATTACAGACACAAGGTCCAGATAAGAAAGACATCACACAAAAACAATAAAAATATTCTGATGCTGACATTGATTCAGCCGCACAAATAAATCTGTACATCAGGTTTTGTAGGACAGCATGAAAAGTCCGAATCCCAGAAGAAACAAATAATTTTCTGGTACTCTCCCACCAAGGCCTTTTCAGCAGGATTCTTAGGCAGTCATTGTACGCCACATTTAGCTTCCGTATACTTGATTATATATAGTTCGACCACAGATGTGTAAATAACGGTGTACAATAAGCTTCAAAAAGTGTCTTATTCACTTCTGTGCACGCACCTTCGTGCACAGAAGGTGCCCATTGGCCTGTGAATACATGATGCGGCACTGCCGTCACACATCGTCATCGTCAGACAGGTTATCAGTGATAAAATGTCACAAGTGCTTGTATTTGCTATGCAATATCAGAGTATTTCCACATAATTTAAATTGTGGAAACTTTAAGATAATATTATCTCTTGTCCGGCCATTTCATTTGTACTTATATCTTTTTACTCTATCTATATATAGACTATTTATCCCTGTAGAGAAATATGTCCTCTGCATTTGATTTTGGATCATGAAGGATATTACATAACATCTTTTCGCACTAACCACATTGATTACACAAAAATGTCACACAAATGAGCTTCGAAGCATTCCAGGTATTAGAATTGGATCATGTAATGGATTACGTCACAAAATACATTCAGAAACGCAGAATTCTTTAACAACCTACATTTTCAAAGTATTGCTTATGCTTTCCCAGTTTAATTTAGTTGTAGTTTGTAGTTTCTTCTCTCAACTAGTATTATTTTTATGTTTTAAAGATTATCTTGACTATGTAGGCACACATTTTATAAGCAGTAGAAGTAAAACCAAGGCCTTTAATATAGGGTATTTGCGAATAGCCCGAAGAAAAAAGTCTAAAGTGAAATCTACAAGAAACATCCTTTTCAGTATTAAATGATAGACGTGTAAACAACTAATCAACCATCCATAACAGGGCAATATTCCATTTTGTCCCCTGGAAAGTAAAGGCCTGTCC